TCTTACAAGAAAAATTGCAAATTTATGATGAAACACTTCCAGAACTCTAATCAACAGAACATTGTTATGGCCCGAAAAAATTGGTAACTACATGTACATGTATTAATCTAAATACTGTAATACATGTAACATACGTACAAATTTAGATTTAGTGTTCCATATGAATCAAAATTTGATATAAAAAATACCTCAAATCCTTTGCTTCATTATAAAATTCAATAATATAGTGATGATAGTAATTTATAAAAGATTCTATATTGTGCTTTCTTTATGTGTTTCGTATTAAAATAAATTTTTGATTTGCATAAAAATATATAATTGATATTATTTATTTGTAGCGTTTCTCATTTTGCTTGTGAGCTTTTTTCATATCAAGTTTTTTACACTTGGTATACAATAAATAAATTTTGATATTGTATTATTTTTGATTGTCACTATATATATATATACATGTATAACATGAATCTTCAGGAATTTATATAAAGTCACCCCTCACGCATCTTATGAAGAAATCCTCAATGAAATTAAAAGTAATTTATCACCAATAAATGATGGTATACGTTCATTAACTTGCGCTTTATCTTTGTTATTCTTACTCCATTTATCAATCCATTCATTCTACCATACTTAGCTCACCTACGACCAGCGGATGCAGGCAAGAATAGTAGCTTGACAAAGCAAACGGAAACAGGTTTGTTTGTTAATATTTTCTTTCGTATCGTTGGATACTAACCATTTATTATTTTATCAGTCTTGCAAAAAGCCTTCAATGAGGGTTCGAAGATGCCGATAACTATTTGGAAGAACTAAAGCATTGTTTTATGCTAGCGCTAGCTGCTACCAAAAAGTAACTGTCCGGTTATGGAAAGACGAGAACTGTCTGTCAACTCGCAGAGGATCGCCCCTTCGTATTCGCAAAAAATATTCGTGTGGATTCCCTCCCAGAGCGATAATATGCTGAGAGTAATGATATCTGACGAAACTATTTTCATAATGACAAAAAGTTTCGTCACGCCATTCGTTGGACGAAACCCATGACGATTGACAAAATCTGTGACGAAACCTTCTGACTGATCAAAATAATAGCTAAATTACATGCACAAATCCTATTTTAAAGCACAGGTTTTGTTGATCTCGGAAAATTCTACTGTAATTGACATTAAAAGGCTGGTTTTAGGATTAGGGTTAGGGTTAGGGCTGAGATACAGACTATAAATATAATTGCCTCCGCGACGTTTTTAATTAGTACTCCAAGCTAGATTTAGGTACCTGTTTTTCGTATTTTTCGCATTTCTTGTATCGGATTTGTTTTGTCGGTCTAATCAAAAATTTCTGCACTGAGAATGGTTTACATTGTAAGGTTTGTGTCTAATAAATTATATTAGAAATTGTTAAGCACAAACAATTTTTTCTATAAGATTTTTTTATGAAATCCATAAAATTTGAATCCACGGGTACCCGAGCATATCTGATTATCCTGTGTTGTATATATGTTTTAGACGGATCCAATCTCTATTCATATGAAATATAGTTAATTAACTCTTTCCTGAATACGAATTAAACATAGCGCATTGCATGTACAGTGACACTTGTACATGTATTTAATTTTTTCGATAAAGTAACATCTCGATAAGGTATCACCAAATCTCTTCCCGATCACGTTATTGTATCCAGCTTTCACTTTATTAGGTATTTTTTTGCAAAATACTAGGAGTTTTTGTCAAAAAATGTCAACAAGTTTCCTTAATTAAAATTGATTTTCATAGTTTGAAATATCACACCTTTTAAAACCTTTTATTTCTTGGAATATTTTTTTAAGTAAAAAGCCAAAGATCATAATTTTTTATAAAATGGTAATAAGCATTTTTTTTGAAACACATGTAATTATAAAATTTTGTAGGATTCTAACAATTTTACAATAAAAACAAAAATTCTCATTATGGCGCGTACTGTAACAAATGGGCGATGATTAATAGAAATGAGGGCCTGCACATTAGCGAAACTATCAGAAAAGTTTTCAATGAACTTTCAATTTCGCCCTATAACGATAGGTCCGAAACTATCCGCACTTTGTAGCTCAAAATTCGGCTAACTGAAACACTATGTACTGCACTATACATGTACAAAACTTCGAATGATCTTTATCATAATATTTTTGGACCTGAAAAATATGTAGATCCTTCATTCTTGTTGACATTTTTAGGAACATTGTGTGCTCTAATAAGTGCAATCAATGGTCTCGATATAACAATAGCTCAAAAAGTCGTTGTATTAAGAAGGTCATTATTTCAAGTTTTTATTTATGCATGTTCCGAAAACTTTTGATGTTCTATCAAGATTGTTAATCGTTATATCGAGACTTGCTTTTACATGTATTTGTGTACCATTTACGTGAATTATAATGCTCACAAACTCTATAAATACAAAGTTTATTTCGTCAAAGATTATTTTTCCTTATGCAATTTCTCTTAGACTGTTTATACATAAATCTCAAGATAATATAACGCTATCTGTCATGTCTTCTAACCAGGAGTGTGTTTTTGATTCCTTTGTGAATATGCACGTTATCTTATTTTGCTAACTTTTACATGTTGTTTTTGCTAATTTTACTCTTCCTTCAAAAGTAACACTCTATTAAAATGGTTCTGCTTGGCTGCAAATCTAACAATTGCTGCAGCGCTGCTATAAACTAAGTAACCTTGAAGATTATTTAGACACTATCACTTACAAATTCGGCACCTACGGCTACCTTAATGTCAGACTACTTCAAAGTCAGATAAGATGGCGACCTTAATGTCAAAGTTATAAATCACAAAGACGACCTTCCGAAATTCAAAGACAATCCGCTTAAGGTCAAAGTTAGTAATGACGATTACACCTACAACTACATTTATGTTAAAAATTCTGACGGGATAAATTACAGTTAATTCTCGATATAAGAAACTTTTTATATAAGAAACTCTTTTATATAAGAAACTCTTGATATAAGAAAGATTTTACAGGTTCAAATTGAAAATTTTATAATAAAAGACCTTTGATATAATAAGAAAGATTTTTGTTGGACCCATTAACTTTCTTATATCAAGAATAACTTGTATTAAATAAAGATATCATTTCTTTAAGATTATTTTTTAAAAAAAAACTATACCCGCACGATCAGTTGTTACTTTATTTTTAGTAATAGCTCAGGTTCCTTAAAACCTCCTGCTGGGCTAGTATAATAACATAGGCTTGACCTTTTTCTTGAAGAAAAGGACAATTCAGGCGTCATGTGTTTCTCTTTGATTAGGTAGACTTGAGTTACATCAAACTTTTTTTTGCAGGAAAAGATCTAATATAAAACGCAATGTAACCTTTATTATATAAAAAATCTTTGATCTCTCTCTTTGGGTAAAAAGAACAAAGTACTGGGATTAGTTCACAGAGTAAGACTTTCCCAAGAAGGTTTGAAGCATTTTAAAGAAAAAGATACTAATTCTGTAGTTATTGACTTAACGTGTATTGGTACTGGTTGAGTTTTTCAAGCCAAAGATTCCATCCTTTATAGGAAAAACTTTCGTTTTTTTTTAATTAGTTTTCCGTCTGTTATAATTCGGCGTTTAGTTTTAGTAAGGTTGAGAATTTCGTAAAAAGGCATCCAAGTGTTCGTTTAGTTTCTATTAGAATTTAAGATAGTTCTCGAACCAAAATTTGCATCATTGAGGGTAAATAGCGGTTTGCTAAGTTGAAGTTATATGATATACGCATTAAAGAAGACCCATTTATTATTTACACACACACAAACAGAGCTCCTATGATGTGCTATATCTCATCTTTTATGCATAACTGAACACAAACGAAAGTTCTAAATAGATTACAAACACAAACGGAAGTTCTATAGGAATAATTTACACACACATAAATCATCATTATCATCTCTCGTTTATTTTGTTATCATTTCAAACTCATTAAAAACCATTTTTAAAGATGCAATCTAAATTTTTAAACACTCATAATTGTATAGAATGCAATTTTTCCTTTCTCACTACTCATAATTGTAGCAACTATATTCGTTGTGAAAAAAATGAGTACTGTCAGTCTAGCAATACCAAGAGTCTAATAAAAAATGCGCGAAACTTAGTAGATATTCACGTTTCGAATGGATCCCTTTTGAAAGATTCACCAATATAGAATATCTTGCAAAAGGAGGTTTTGGAACAATTTACAAAGCACGGATTCACTATTACAAATGGGATTATGGAGAAAATAAATCTAAACGAGATGGAGAACGTGAGGTTGTATTAAAAACCTTACATAATTCAAAGCAAATTACATCGGCGTTTAGAAACAGGTAAAAATGAACCATTTATAGAGTGTAAGCAAAATGGTTCTTATTCTAATGCAATTAAGTTCTCAAAAATAGGTTCAGAATGCTCTAGAATGTAGTGTATTCTTTTGTTCTATTGGAATAGATTATTAAGGAATAAACTAAAAACTCAGTTACAAATGAATACTCGATGGTAATGGGTTATGCAGAAAATGGCGATCTACGCCAACATATCGGCTCCAATTACGGAAAATTGACTTGGAGAGAACTATCAAAACATTTAGTGTATATCGTATCAGGGCTTGGTAGAATTCACGATAGGGGATTTGTGCATCGGGATCTTCATCCTGGAAACATTTTGTTTCATTTAAGAGCTCAAATTACCGATTTTGGACTTACCGGCCCAGCCGATATAAAACAATCTAATCAAAAATTTACGGAGTACTTCCTTATATGAGTCCAGAGGTTTTAAATATAAAGCCATACACTAAAGCTGCAGCTTTGGGATGATTATGTACGAATTTGTCACAGGTGAACGACCATTTGGTAAACGAAGTCATGACGTATTTCTCGTTCGTAATACTTATAACGGAGTACGACCTACGATACCAAATAATGTTCCCAGATGGTGCAAATTTATTATTGAAAATGTTGGGATCCTGTTCCAGAAAACAGACCGACTGCTAAGGAACTTAAAGGCTTTCTTGTATCTATCTATCTGAGTGATTTTTTCAGATACGTCCCTTACGAGTTCAACAGTTTGCATTTTCAGTACTATAACTCTTTGGAATATCCTAAAATTATCGAATGTCTTAGATTAGAAGAACAGAGTTTAAAAGAATTTGATGAGAAGAAGAAAAATGTTCTTACAAATATGAACAAAAATCAAAATATCCACCCAAATGCAATTTTTACCAGTCGAGCATTTACCGAAAAATCAATTGAAACTGACACAGGTACTTTCTAAGTTAAAGTCGTCGTGATATTTTATATTAATTGTAAATTTTAATATTTAGGTTCTACAAGTGTCCGTTTATATACTCCAACCGATTTCGACTTTAGTAGCCATATCGATATGAAATCTTAGAGAATGAAGATATTCTTTCCATTTTCATTTTCTTTTGTACTTTCTACCCAAAGATTAATATTTTTGCTATTGGTGCATCTTATATTCTATCCCAAACAAAAACATTCTTAATTCTTATTCATTATATTTACCCAATTACATTCATATTTATTTTATCTCTCACTTTTATTTTCATTATCATTTTTATTGCTATTTTCTTTATTAAATTTTCTTATGATCAATTTTTTGTGTTATTACTTTTCTTTAGATCTTTTCTTTCACTGCAATATTGATTTTCTTATCTCTATTCATTAATTTTTTTAAATTTTTTCTTATATTTTTCTTTCTATTATCATGTAGTGGTATAATTCAGAATAATTATTAATTATATAAATCAATAGAAACTGTTGAAAATAAATAAAAATAAAAGTTTCTCATTGCTAAAAACTCTCATGTTCTGATCTAATAAAAATAACAAAGTTATTACTTATAATATTATACTTGTAAATATACTATTATTTTCATGATTATTTTCAAATCTTGACTACTAGTAAATGCACCTTTACTCTAAATAATTAACTTAATTATT